TTCATCTCGTTGATTCTTCAAGTGAACTGCGTGAAAAGCCGCCGGCATTATTGTATATCGCGATTTTTTTTTTATTTTTCCTAAGCTTCCTTATTATTAGAAGACGTGACACCCACGCATCGATATGTTGTTTTACAAAAAAAAAGACATATATTAGTGAATTACATTAATTTTTAAAAAAATTAATCAAAATCATATATAAGACAAATATAAGACTTACCTCCCCATCGAAATAGCCACTGTCTTCAACCCCTAATAACACACCCCACCAAGACCGATTAAGCAACAAATACATCTCATCGTTGAGTTTGCTTATGTCAGTGTAAAACCCTTGGATCCGCTCATGTAGATAAAAATCAACTGCGGTCTTAGCCCAAAGGGTATTATCCAGAATTGTTTCTGGTAGTTGTCTCCTCTCCACTTCAGATATCGGAAGGGTACTAGCCAGTAACTCATACGAGAGCCAACTCTCATCCATCATGTCCGACAACGGTGGGGGTTTCTCAATAATTCGATATATTACCCCATGTGAATCGGGCTTTGGAATGGTGGGAGGGACCTCTTCAACGATGACAGTGGCCTCTTGAACGGTGGGGGGGACTCTTGAGGGATGATAGGTGCCTCTTGAACGATTGGAGGGGACTCTTGAGGGATGACAGGTGAGTCGGGCTTCTTCTTGCGGAGTCTTCGCACCATTGGGGTGAATGGAGACGTAATATCACGTGCACGCCGTCTGATGCGTGAACTCCGTCGTGCAAGGAAAACCCGACGTAAAGCATCCACCTTATCGGGCCGCTAAAAAAAATTAATACATAAATCAGTAAATAAACAGACATGATATTAAACAAAGACAAATATGTTTCAAACTTGCATTGTATTCACCCAAGTCATTATTCTATCATAGTTCACAAAATGCATCACATAACATTCCAGAAGTAAGCACTTATATAAACATTTAAAAGGACAACATATATAAACATTCAAGAATAAGAATAGTTTACTTTCGCAACACGAAACTTACTTTCGCAACGCGAAAATGACTATCGCAACGCAGAAATGACTATCGCAACGCGGAAATGGCTATCGCAATGCGAAATGAAAATCGCAACGACAAAATCGCAATGCGAAATGAAAATCGCAACGACAAAATCGCAACGCGAAACACAAATCGCATTGCGATTTTCATTTCGCGTTGCGATTTTGTCGTTGCGATTTTCATTTCGCATTGCGATAGCCATTTCCGCGTTGCGATAGTCATTTCCGCGTTGCGAAAGTAAACTATTCTTCTTCTGCAAATTGAAACTTGAATGGATTGCATTACTTCAACCAAAAGACAAAAACAAAACCAAAAACAAATACTAACAAAAACAATTTAGCAGTATTGGCAGCAACCGAATGAATTTATTAAGCAATCTAAGTGAAATGGTTAATCTAAGTGAAATTACGAGTAAATTTATCATCAAGTTAAATATGAAAAATCTTAAACTTACCTCGTTGCGTAAAGTATGAACCTCATTCTACAACGATGCTACCATCTCACGTAGAGCGGCTACCTCACCGCGTAAAGTAGACACCTCAACACGCCATGCACCATCGTCTTTGCGTAAAGTATCGACCTCCTCACGCAAGGCATTGACCTCATCACGTAACTCTCCTAACTCATCACGTGGAGGTGGAGAACAGGGAGATAAATGTCGTGGCATCTTTGCCGGTTGCCTATCTTGCGGTGATGGTGGAGAAGAGGCTCGATGATGTGATAGAATAGGTGATGGCTGTCGTTGTGGAGGTGTATAGTAAGGTCGATCAGGTGATGGCTCTGGGTGAGGTGATGGCTCCCGAAGTGGAGGCTGCTCATCATCTGTGCCATCAAAAAAAACGCTTACTAGCCTGCCACCAATCAGTGGCAAGCTCAGCTTCCGTGGGTGTCAGCCTCTGTAATGGAGTGTTGGCCTCCTAACAATATAAAAGCTCAAACAAAGTTAAACGTGTACTAGTAATAACTTGTTTATAAACATATGGTAGTATTTATGTTAACTTACATTATTTATTGTCGTATACCGTAGTAAATCTTCCCATTGCAAGGTCTGTTTCCTCTTCCAGGAAATAGCCCTGGGAATATCATTTGAAGTTTTTATTGCATATGTCTTCATGGCGGGAAAGGCCTCAAATATCCAAATCTACAAACAATATAATAACAAACATTAGTAATTGTTAAATAATTACTTATAATTTTGGAAACATTATATAAAAATTCTTACCTTAAAGGCCCAAATAAAGCCTGTCAAAGTGTATTTGGAACCATCGTCTGGCAAACTTTTTCGATCATCCAAGGCAGGCGATAAATTATTCTATGTAGCTTTCCATAAATACGAGCCCCAAGGAAACAGGTTCCACGTATTTAGGTCTTCTACCAATTTGATTAGATCATTCGGAATAGGTTGTCTGGCCTCTCTGCCTAAAAAGCCGGCATGCAAAAGTATTAGAAGGCATACTCGGACAACATCGACGTCATCCATCCGAGTAAAACCATCTTTCTTATTCAATAATATCGTCAGGTCTTCCACGTGTATATTCGGCCTCTCCAGCTCAGGAAAAACCTGGGATAACCATGATTGGCGGGTAATGTGTCTAGTTTACCGATCTACATCATCGTGTCCGAAGCGTAGACCGGTGATTAAGCAAAACTCCTCCCGCCCAAAACACGTATACGCCGGTGGAAAATCAAACCATATCTCTTCATCACGACGTTGTATAGTATCTGGTAGATCCCTAGTCATGGTTTGAAGAAACAGGTGTGTCAACATCGCATCTCCACCGGGATGTTGTACTTTCAGCCATAGCCCGAAGCAAGTATCCTCAAACATTTTTCTTTGTGCAGGTGAAAGCTTCGACGCAATTGTTTTGGCCAGGCTGACTTTATTTCTTAAGGTCAATTAAGCCGAATAAAAGTTCTACAAAAACAATAAACATACTAAGTTAGATATACCAAAAACTACACTGGAGATATACCAAAAACAATAATAAACATAAAGAGTAGTAGTTTATTCTTCAAACTTAAATTTGCAACACTGTGAATTTCTTATTTGTCTTTGTTTTTTCGTTGAAGTAATGCAATTCATTCAAGTTTCAATTTGCAGAAGAAGAATAGTTTCTGAAAATGAAAATCGCAACACGAAAATGACAATCGCAACGCGAATTTGACTATCGCAACGAGAGAATAAAATCGCGTTGCGATTTTGTCGTTGCGATTTTCATTTCGCGTTGCGATTCTCGGTTGATTTAATAAGCAATCTAAGTGAAATGGTTAATCTATTATTGAAATTACCAGTAAACTTATCATCAATTTCAATATGAAAAACCTAATAATAATGCAAAAATTTCAAAAAGAAAATAATTAAAAAAACTAACCCTCGGTGGTTGATTTGGTTGATTTTCCATTTCTGATTGTGAGGGTGGCTCTGAGAGACGGAGATAGACGGATTTCGCCGGAGATGGGGACGGATTTCGTCGGAGATGGGTGAGAGAGTGAGAGATGGAGATGGGACTGAGTTGTGATTTTAGGTTTTAGGTTATGAGTTGCGATTACAGGATATACTGTGGATGGTTCAGTGTTCCAATATATTAATATTTGTGTTTGGAATTTGAAAATAAAATACGCTTTGCGATACTAATGGCGCTTTGAAAATCGCATTGCGATTATGTATTATCTCGTTGCGAAAGTCAGTATTGCGTTGCGAAATTAAGTATCGAGTTGCGAAAGTCAGTATCGCATTGCGATTTTGTATTATCGCGTTGCGATTTTCCAAATTCGCATTGCGATTTTCAAAATTCGCATTGCGATTTATTTATTCGCATTGTGAATTGGGAAAATCGCAACGCGAAATTGGAAAAATCGCATTGTGATAGTCATAATCGCGTTGCGAATCTGGAAACTGATTTACGATAATAGAGATCGCGTTGCGAATCTGGAAACTGATTTGCGATAATAGAGATCGCGTTGCGAATTAGCGATCGCATTGCGATTTTGTTGGTCATTTTGGCAAATCCGGAAAAAGTTGGTTAAAATCGTATATTATATGAGATTTTTTGGTCACTGAGGTTATTTTCTCTATTTTGAATTGTAAATTTGAAGCGGGGGAGGGGGGATAATGGAGCTCAAATTATAAGAGTAAAATACATTAAAATTTGTTTAATTATGTTAATATAATTTTTATGATCATTAAATGAATTTAATAATCATTTTATAATATTTAAAAATTTATTGATCAAAATGATTTAATTAATTTAATAATATCTTATACAATTTTTTTTTAAAAATTTTGTTTGTGTGTTATAGGGTAAATTACAAGTTTAATACTTAAATTATCGGTTTTAATCTATTTTAGTATCTAACCTTTCAATGTTTTCAAAATCATACCTAAATTTTAGTTTTTATTTCATTTTAATACACTTGTTCAAAATGTAACATTAATTTTTTTTAAATTAAAAGTTTATATATTAAAACATATCAAAACTGATAGTTTAGGAATTAAATACGTTAAATTTTTAACGGTGGGGTATTAAAATGAAATTAACACTAAACATTAGGTATGATTTTAAAAAAAAATTAAAAGTTTAGACATTAAAATAGATCAAAACTGATAATTTAGATACTAAATGTGGAATTTACCCTATATTATAATATGAATTATTGGGTCTGCCATGTATTTTCGTATTAATGATGTAAGCATAAATGTAGAATCAATTAAATATATTAATATTATGTCTGTTTATTAAATTATGATTTGATTTCCATATTATGTGTTAAACTCATATGCTCTGTACTTTGTTTCTCGTAGAGACACATCATAGATTGCGAAAAAGTATGTACGTCGGTACTACCCTGTACTTTTGGATGGGCAACCCGTCAAACCCGTAAATCTGACCAAAATCCCGCCGGGTTTAAATTTTGGACCATATTTCCTGATTTTTAGAAAAGAAAATAACGCAGCAAATCAATAAACACAAAAACTTTAAACTGGATTTCTAAAACCCACTAATTTAAGGTATATGCAACAGCTAATTTTCCATCCCAGTTATACAATGAAATCTACAAACCACAAAGTTAGAAATGGCCAGTTGATTAAATAATTTAAAAAAATAAATAAATAAAGAATGCAACTCTGTGCAGCAGCAATGCCATAAAGCGATAATATGATTGTGCTGTTCTTCATTCATCACCCAAGCTTCTTAATCAACCTACCCTAATACTTCCACAATTCAAACTTTTACCGTAACCGATCTTGTTGCATCCAAATGGTTCAACCGACAAGTCCCAAGAAGATACTCCGGCAGTTCCTCTTCTGTATTTGCCTGTATATTATAGTGGTGAAGCCATAAATTTTTTATAGACTATGTCAATATAAAGCATAACATTACTTTTATCTAAAGTAATTCATATATTTTTAAAATTTAAAAATATAATAACAAATATATATATGGATTAAATCTAGAAAAAATATATTAAATGAATCAATATAATTTTCTTAACATAATTCATACATGTTTTTTATTTAGGGTAACTAACTATTTTGTCACCCGCCTATTAATTAATTTTTGTCTTGATCACTCAACTATTATTTTTCAAAATCATATCTAACCATTACATTTTCTTTCTATTTTGATTACCCACCGTTAAAAAATTAATAATGATGTTAACATGATATTTTTCTTAATTATTTTTCAATCATGACATGACATTATATTATGACGACTCGTCAATATACCGTTAAATTTTAAAAAACGAGTGATCAAAACAGAACGAAAACATAAATGAAGTGTGATTTAAATAAGTTATAATTATGTGAGTAATATAAAAATTAAATAATTAATGAGTGACTGAATAAGTCATTTACTCTTTCTTGGGCACAAGGTGGGCCATGGCCTAGGTAGATCTAGGCTTGGATACGCCCCGATGTATATATGTGTATATATAAATCTTAAGAACATTTTTTCAGTTTAAATTACAAGTTAATTTATTTTTTTCCGGGGTGTCAAATCTTGTTTTTAAAATTTACCTGGATCAAAAATGCCATTTCAATAACCAGATTGTTGAGGTAACCAAGCACGAGACTGACCACGCCTCTTGCCACCGTCGATGACCCAATGTCGATCCCAAGCTGAAGTGATGGATTGCAAAATTTCAGTGTAGCAAATGTCATACATGAACTCTATGCAATTTTAAACCATTTTTCGAATTCATTCTCCAGGTTAATTGTGCTTGGCCCCTCCGAAACATACATATAAACGCAGTTCATAAATCGTTTACCTCCAAGTAGTTCTTCCCACGGAAATAATTAATTTCCAAAGCCTGGCCAATGAGACAAGCTTTCTTTCCAACACTCTGTTTGACTATCCACGACCCCTTAAAAAAAATAAACTCAACGTCAGGACCTTGCTTTACGAGTCTGCTTCGATTAATGTATAACCAAAGATTCCCAATCTCAACTGCATAATGCTGTGCATGTACCAACCTTTGATATGTATGGGATGAGCTTAAACCTTGAATTTCTATATGCATTGTCACCGTTGATGAAGTTATACAGCAAAGGTGAATCTTCCACTGGAGTATTCATCTTATAGTATAGTGCTAGGGTATATGTTGTTGAACCTGGCACCTGTATCGCAGTTAATAGTTCAGTTACTTTAAATGCTTCAGAACCCATAAGAATGTTGATAAACATTACAGCTTGACATAATTAAATGTAAGCAAAAGACTAATAGAGAAAAGTACCTGTATGTTCACAATGAAGAAAAACTCTGGCCCTCCCTGAGCAGCATATTTCTGCAGATAAACACTTTCGTAATTTTTTTCTGATCTACCAGCAACATATAGCAAATGCAACAAGTACAATTGAGCTTATAGGTGACTCATACGAAATGACTTCTAAACTGCAATTAACAAAAAAAAAAAGGTAATGACATATATAAGGGAAACCTGAACGATGCTCCCAGGACGCCCTCCTAAATCATCTTCTCGTTTGTCAGATCTTAGCCAATCTGCAGCGACCATTTGCATTAATGTTCCCTTCGCTTTAAACTGGAAGAAAACGAGAGCAAGGATATAATTTTAAGTTTGATTTTCAATTTAAGGAAAGCCAGAGTGGATTGGATAGAGATATCCAGGACACCTAGAAATTGATCAACATATGATATCTGCAATTAATTGCATCATAAAAATGTTTGGAAAACATGGAAGGACATGTATATCATTTAGAGTTCATCAAAGACAAAATGCCAGTACATGCAAGATGGCATAAAGAAAACCATCATAGAACACAGCAGCTGAAACTTTCGTAGTACACTTCAGCACTGTGTCATTGTAACATTTTTCTTCATACCTTCTGACGATCTTCTAGGTAATTCTCCCCACGAATTAAAAATGTGGAGGGTTCTGCTTCTGTCCAACTGCAAGGTAATGTACAAGTTGGATCCTTGTGAAGAGTGTTACCATAGGAGCAACATATGCCATCTACTCTTGTCATGTCTTGCAAGTCCATGTAACCCCTCTTCTGGACTGCAACATACGATGAAGTGGAAGCCATCAGCACTTTATCTTTCTAAAAGTTCTTTGTTTCTAAAATATAATAGTACATACTGATCATCCAAACAGTAACCACCTGCAAGATCATGCAACTTTTTCACAAAAACAGCAGCAGTTGATAACTTTGGTTGGCGCGTATCCTGCATATTTCAGGCACAAGAAATCATGTGAGAAAATTGAAGCAAAACATAAACAAACAAAACCTTTAGTGGAGAAAAACTCTATTAATATGGCGACAAGAAAAGGAATATGAAAAATGAAAAAGCTCAATAGTTGGTCATATCCTCTATGAGATATGAAGCACCAATAACTGCAAATTCATTGTTATGTAGGAATCAATGGTAACTACTTTGACTCTACCTGAGCGTATACTTCAGGACGAAAGTCGCAGTCCCATCTATCTATTGATTGATCATAATCTGTTGGCTCTGGAGCATCAAAGAATTCATCGGCAGCATCACTAAAACCTACCAGACTTGAGTGCTCTGAAGATGCCTTTTCTATTCCTTCACTCATATTTTCCTCTGATTTCCCAGACTCTATCTGTGTGCACATATCAACTACACTCTCCTCTTCACTCTGTTGCAATCTAACATTTCGTACCCACTCTCCAGATGAAATATCAGTGGAAGGATATTTTCCTTGTTTGGCTTTGAATAACTCTCTTAATGCTGCAAGTACAAGACATAAATTCCTAGCAAATTAATGCCTCAAATGATCACAAAAAGTCATAAAATACTCAATACACACACACGCACATACCATGCAAAATTATGACAGAATATGTGATTACCAGAAACTCTCTGAAGCATATGGATGGTAATAGATCGGGCTGCAGAAGTTTGAAGATAAGATTTCCAGAATTTCCAATCAATTGCAAGCATGTGTTTTACAACCGAATGCTTTCCTTCATTCAGAGGAGATATGACATATCCACCACCTGCAAGTAAGTTCAAAACATACCCTCGGAGATTAAAAACATACCCTCATAGATTGACTTTTGATTTTTCAGTTTTCAATATAAACATTTTCTTCTTTCCTTCAATAGAAATCAAAAGCACATCATATGCCACAGCCTATAAATTTCTGTGGTATACAAAGGACGAATCATCAAAATAAAGCGATGGAACATGAACTTATTAGCAGTATTCAAACTAAAGCCAAACAATGCTTCAACATAAAAATACACAAAAAAGTCCCTGAATAAATGCATTTCTTTCATGCGCGTAAGATGCTTATGAAACAAAGGGTAGGAGTATGCTAAATTTTAACCTACAAGGCTAAAACAGTTCATGGCACCTATAATGTATTATAAAATGTATAATAGTAGGACATAGAGAATTCGGAAAGATGCAGGCAGTTCTCTTTTAGTCATATGTTTCAGGCATACATTACTTTTAAGGCAGGCACGGACATAGCTTTTCTGTGGTGGGCACTTCTTGTGAAACACCGAGTGGTACAGAATAACTGTGATAAAATCAAATCAAGGAAATCAGTTTGCAATTTCAAATATATATGTCATGACTTCTGAATATAAGTTTTGAGAATATCCTCAAAGCAATTGCTACCATATGTTCCGTCATCTTCCCTTCTCCAATATCGTCGCAACAAGATATCTCTCCTTTTCATTCTCCTGAAACTATAATTAGTTAGTGAATATATATATATATAAACAGAAACCTCTAACTTGCAAAACATAGTGAAAAAATCGAGTTTGGAGCTGATAAAGGTAACCAATCACTATACAGCATCTTGTGAACAATGTCAGTATGACCATCAAGATGTTCGACCACACTACCCTTGTAGAAACAGAAGTCCCATCTGCAAGGCAATTAGTAAAGTTCCATTGACTTGAGAGAAGGAAAACATTTCAGAAAAAGTCAAATACATTGCAAGGTGAATAAAATTCTAACTCTACAAATCTTTAAAACATACTGGAGAGCATCAAATGGAAAAATAATAAGTAAAATAGATGCAATAAAATGCGCCAAGTACACATATCAAACCTATACATGGTATCATTATCAAAGCGCGGATTTCTTTGTATAGCTTTTTTCGAGCTATTAAACAAGTTTATAAGAGTTTTTAAACAAATTAATGTCCGTATTAACAAAAGCAAATATTACATTATTTCTATTTCTGTCATGCATCAAAACTTAAGTTAACATTTATTCTCCATTACAAACTCAGTGGAGAAAGCTCCAACTGCGCATGAAAAATTATTCAATGTGAAATGGCAATCATGATGAGGTCAGTTCTAAAGAATTGCAATGATAGATCTAATACGAATCAAATCAAGCCATGGCTCTTCCAAAAGAATACAAGAGCTTAATTTAAGGAAAATACAGAATACTGGGCAGATTACTCTGATCTTGAGGGTCCAAGAGACATAAGTGTCTGGAAAATGGCTTCTGAAGTTCCATCTACAACGCCTACAGCCATGATTGCAGGATGGTCATCCCACTGCCAATGAGAAAGGGGAGAAATGTCAAAATGCAATTGCATGAAAATCATCAACTGATGAATCAAAAGGAACCAACCTTTCCATGAGAATCCCTATCTTTAGCTTCTTTAAACAATCTAAGACCTGCATCGCATCATGGTTTTAGTCGAGCAGTTTTAGTCAAGCAGTTATAGCTATCTCAAAATTCACAAATATTTTTTTTTTAATTACCATTCTGACAGCCAAAAATTGTCCAAGGCGACGGTGCTACAATGTCAGATGTCACTCTGTCCATCTTTGTGGACGAACAAAGTGTCCAGTCAATAGAATTGTTATGATTTGCATTACCGGAACAACTCGATCTGCATGCAAGGAGTCCTTCTAAGAAACTGATATTTATAATAGGGTATAAATATGAGAGAATACAAGGTGATAAAACAAGCATTAAACCCTCTCACAGTCATCACTAGTAAATATTCTTAGCAAATCCAACTAAAGTTACTGAAGCAATTAGCACAGAAATCAAATTGTGACAAAGCATAGGTGAGCAGACAGCTGAAAGCCAGAAATTTAATATATATTAAATAGTAATGCTGGATGGTTGCTCATTGTTATACACTTATACCTGAAGGACTGCCATCTGCTCGTTAAACAAGCAACATCTGTTCCAGGGTATGTACCACCCTGCATTAATAGAATAAAATCTCATGTCATGCCAAAAATTTATGATGTGCATTAACAATAGGAAGCAGATCGTTTCAGACCTTTGAAGCTGTTTCCTGGAAGGATTGAATCCATCCTGCTGTTTCTTCAGGACTACAAGCTCCTAGCTGTAAAATTGATTCCACGTCTCATACATGAAGGTGAAAGTATCATGCATGTCAACTAAAAATCGTTTTGTGAAATATGTGCCTCACCTTAAGTTGATCTTTGGGATTAGAACTATTATAGAGGGTGAAAATGAAGAATACCTACAAGTCAAACAAAGAATTGTCCTTGAAAAATCTCCAATGGCATGAACCAATCGGAAATCATAAGCCAATCAAGAATTTTATCACAGTCCAAGAAAAAGAACACATAATTCACATACGTTTCTATGAATGCTCTCCCTCCCGTTGTCTGTTACTCGAATGCAGGAATCAATAATAGCACTTCTACCAGGTTTCTGAAAGATAAATCAAGGCCCAGTTCTTGGGCTTATTAAAATCGTCAAGCATAAAAAAGAACAGTCTACAACTAAGAAATATATATATATATATATATATATATATATATATATATATATATATAAAGAAAATTAACTAAAAACTGAATGTGCACCTAAAGATCATCTTATCATCCTTATTTATTCATTCATCAAAATGTATGCATCACACTGTATAATTATGCTTAAAGTGTAGCTAAGCTTGCCTGGCTTATGGTTATAATCGAATCAACTTAACTTTCATTAAAACCTAAAAATTAAACAGTAAAAAGACTGTGCCATATGACAGCTAAAGTAAAATATTCCTTCTTATAGTTGACTGTACAATTTCCCCAAATGTGTACCTATAAAGAGTTATAACCTCCCCCACCCAAGAAAACAAACCCAAAAAGAACTACGAAAGGCTGCTCGAAGGAAAGAACCAATTCAAGAAAAGAGCAAAAGAAGTCAGCTACATAAAAAAAAAAAACTAAACTATCAAAGTACTCGATGAAAACGCGTTTGATATGATATGTTAAAGGCATATTCAACTAATCCATTAGTAAGCAACTAAAATCATTATTAGATATATAGATAAAATAGTATAAGAAAATCAATAATAAACGAACATTTTTTTTAGAAGTTATACTACTAAAAACTAATTATTCACTTACCAGAGCAGTTATCCATTAATAAGAACTTAAATTGAAAAAAATGATATTAAAATTTAATGCCATTAGTTCTTTACAACATTTGTTAAATGAGTAACGGAATTTGCAATATAAGCTTCTTAACAAACAAAAAAGAGGAAAAGGAAGAGACCTGGAGATTGGAAACGGGCTTGGATTTGAAGCTCTTAAGAAGATGATCTTCAAGAACAAAGTAACGTTTCCTTGAGTACTGTAATCCTATCCGATTCGAACGAATTATATGTAACCATCCTTCCATTTTTACTTCTCCGATCTGTGAACCATCCATTTTTTCCTTCTTTTATAGCAATTTTTTTTAAAGAGAGGGAGATAGAGAGAGAGAAGAAAAGTATTCTTCGGAAAACAGAAAGCAAACAAGAGAACCGATATGATTTTTGTTTTTTGGCGGTGAAATTAGTGAAACTCTTTTCTTCTTAAATGCCAAAAAGTAAACAACCAATACTCCTCCCCCATTAAAGTTGTCCATTAATTTTGATTATAATTATTTTAAATAATAAAATTTTATAATATTTTTAAAAATAAAATATATTTTATATTTTTACTAATAATATTTTTAAAGAATAGTAAAAATTAAAATTTTAATAAATAATAATTTTAGTAAACGGAAAAAATTAATAATTAAGGTTAATAAAAGAAACTCTCGCGATTTCAGTATCTCCCTCAACGGTGTTTTTCCTTTATAACGTTGTCCCTTCGTTTAAGAAAACTGAAAGATCGAAGCGTACGTGAATCATGATAATTGATAAATCAGACAAGGATTGCCAGGCGAATGTTCAAATCTTCAAATTACATTATTACCCTTTCCCTTTCCCTTTCATTTGAAGTTGAAAAGTACGCTAACTTCTGCAGCCAATCATGTACTTTCCGTTTCTGTTTTTACTAAAATTTAACTTGAATTTTTAATTTTCTAAAAAATGCCAAGTGGCAACGGGCAAGAAGTGAACTGATTTTTTAATTTGTACTAATACAAAAAATATTTTTCTTACATATATAATATAATATTCAACGAAAGTGCCGTGATTTTAGGGAAATATACTTTTCAGCACAACTGACAAGTTTATCGCTTTTAGTCATTTCGAAATTTGATACGTTTTTGCCACAAAAGTATAATTCCATAAGGTATAAAAAATCAAGAAGAAATTGTAGGTAAATCTTCACTAGTTGAGCCCAAGAAGTTTATTCATAATTATAATAATTAATTAAGTACATTATTTTTAATATCAATTAATTACATTTTTTCTTGCGTACTTTACACGCCTAAATGCCTACTTGTAGGTATCACGAGTCATAAAATACCTTCTTAGATATATATATATTCGCATAGTATACATGGTCTTCCATGATGACAAAAATTATATGAATTAAAATAATTAAAAAAATAGTGTTTAATCGGGTAAGTTAAAGATTAAACTGTCTTAAAATAGTTTTTTTAATATTAAACTTTAAAAATATACAAAATAAATATTTTATCATATTGTTATTGAATGATGTGGCATGTTAAAATTAATAGATAATAATTCATTTTATCTTCAATTATAATTAAAATTTTCCTTTGATTATTTTTTAATAGTTATGAATAATAATTTAAAAATTAAGAAACTGAAAATTTATAAAGAAAAATATTAAATTCATTAGTAATATTATATGAATGGTCGTTATCGGGGTATTAGAATATGTAGAATGACGGATTGGCAACAGTAAAGCCCACGTCTATGAACAAATGATGCAATCTAACATATCTTTGGTCTTCACTTGCTAGGTAGAGTGCAACATTTGCTACATCCTCAGCCTTAAGATACACACCCTTAGGCCATAAGGCAACAATCAAACCCATCACGGGTTGAGGAACACAAGTATGCTTGAAGCTCAAACCCTGAATAGTTTTTTAGATATTTATTTATTTATTTAAACTTATATTTTTATATTTTTTGTAAAATGGATTTTTTTTCATAATTTAGGTATTGAAGTTAACAAATTAAATCGTGAAATAAGCCTTAAAAATGACATTAGTGAAATATTTATAAAGTGAATATTCATCTTTTTCTTCTAATTTTAACTATATATTATTCAGATAAAAATATAAATACAAAGGTTACAACTGAAAATATAAAAAAGGTAAAAAAATAATACTTTTCTCTTTTTTTAAAAAAAATCATATTTTTACCAAAGATTTAATCAACCTAACATCTAAATATCTAAAATGAGTACATAACTTAAATAATGAATCTATTTAAAAAACTTAAATAATCAATTCATGGTTTGACTTCTGAATTAAATATCTTCCCTCATTTTTATTTAATTTTGTTATATATCTTATTTTATTCAAATTATGGACTTTAAAAAATATCACATATTATATTATATCAGTATTTTTTTGGTAATTATAATAAAATAATGATTTAAATATTAAAATAATGTATATATAACTCATAAATCAAATAGAATATTAAGCCTTGAGAAAAAGAAGAAGAAGAAAACAGGGGTGACAACGAGGGATCAAATTTCCTAATTTTAAGCGGACATCATTCAGGGAGGGCTTTCAAGATACCGTATGGATCAGCTTGGTTGGTGCCTGGTAGAGGTAGCCAACTGATTTGGGTGTCTTTCTCTTTCATTTTAATTTTAGTTTTAACTTGAAATTCATATTGTCGGTACGACATTTCTTTCGTGGAAGATAATAATCTTTTTCTTGCTTTATCGTGTTTCTTCCCTTCACGTTTTGTTTATGATTTTCTTTGTAATTATCGTAAGCTTAAGCCGTTTCAAAATAATTCTGTACTATTTCACGATTTTTAGTTAGTTTTTATATAATTTTTGATGACAAAACTTTCGAGATAATGTTCTGAAATAAATTAATTCACGAGCTAATGCACTCCCAAGATTAATTGCTCAAATAGGGTGCAATCCACAGTGTTGGCCGTAGGTCGCCATGCACTCCGGGCGACCTTGTAGGTCGCCATGCACTCCGGGTGACCTACCCTTGCTCAAACAGAGAGAATGAACGTGTTGCATGGCACATGTACGTCCCAACACATAGGTCGTCATGCACTCCGGGCGACCTACCCTCGCTCGGCTTCCCTCGGATTCCCTCGCATAGCTCGCTCGGTTGCCCTCGGATGCCCTCGGATGGCCTCGGTCGGATGGCCTCGGATGCCCAGCGTGTTGGGACGTGCATGGCACATGCAATCTCTTGTAGCTCGCCGGGCTAGTAGGTCGCCCGGAAGGCATGACGACCTACGGCCAACACTGTGGATTTCACCTTATTTGAGCAATTAATCTTGGGAGTACTTTATCTCGTGAATTAATTTTTTCCAGAACATTATCTCGAAAGTTTTGCCAATTTTTGATCGAATTTGTTCATTTAATTGTGCATTTAAGTATAGATTAAAATGCTCGAATTTAACAAAAATATGAAAAATACCAAAATAAAATGGTAGAATTCAACAGATCCTTTTTATTATTATTTCAGCCCAGTAATAATTATAAATAATTAAAGAAATTAAACTCAAATTTAATTTATTTTTTTCATTAAAATCAAGGTGGTTCACGATCGATAATAAAATATATTTTAAAGTAAAACACAAATTATAAACTATTATTTGTATTTATGAGTGAGATCAAATTTCAATTACGTGATTAAAAAATAAGATAAACAACTATCACATCACATCAGATGTTGATGCTAAAAAAGTATACAATTATACCTACCTAAAACCAAGTATTTTGCATTGCATTTATGTGATATTGTCATTATAAGCAGATTAGTGTAATTTCATTTTGGCCAATGAAAAAAGTGGGGAAAATTTCACTGAAGTAAATACATTTTCACAGGCAAAGAAATGGTAGCAATATGAAGTTGATCAATTACAATCTGCTAATGATTCCTTGACTTGTACACAAAGGTGGGAAGAGGAAGTTGAGATGAAGTGGGAATGAGTGGTTTATTTAAAGAATCAAAAAGTGATTTACTCTTGAGATACAAAATGTTTGAAACAACTCCTTAATTCACAAAGTCCTGTTTTGTTTTAGACAAGGGAATCCTTGTTTGAATTCTTAACCTCATGGACTTCTTTCTCCAGAGCCAGAAATGGTGTTGCATCCTTTTCTTTCATCTGAAAACACACAGACATCAACACGTTCAGATAAAAATGTTATTTTTCCGTGTTTTGGAGGGTACATGGAGCGGTATATCCCATACTCATGTCCGGCGATACATCGGAAAGGGACGTCCGAGATGAGTACTTAAATAAAAATAAAAAGTCGGAGAAATATAGATATATACCTGTGATCCCAAAGAATCAGCTTGCTTCCTTTTGTTCTCTTGGGTGCAAAAATAAGAGTACAAGCCCATCCCAAAAATGGCAATCAAGATTCCAATGATGTTCCTATCTGTGAAAGGGTCATGAAGCAATGTATAGCCAAAGGCAAGAACCAGGCAAGTCTTGAGGTGACCAAGAACTTGATAGGTGACCGGGGATGTTTTGCCGATAACCAAAAATGTACTGAAATTGACAGATACTGAAATAATACACGAGAGGACGATAAATGCCTGCAAAATGTAGAGAAAAGCCAATTCTCATGAGTGATAAGCTGATGAGAGAAGAAAGGAAAGAAAAAAAAAAGGTTTTGGTTCAATACCAAGACTATAGGAGAATATTTATGAGCAAACACATTTTGCTTGGTGAGTAATTGGTCCACCAACGGGCCCGAGACAAAAAGAATTGCTGCTTGAAATGGGGCTGACTGGTACAGCAGCTGTGTTGAAGAGACATTCAGCCTCTTCTGTATTGTGTTTGTCAGCTATATTCATCAAGTTAAGAACAAACTGGAATATGGCTCTGAAATGTATTGTTTGATGAAAATCAAAGGATACAATTTGGCCGACGCAGGTGGTCGCAATGGCGAGGAGCGAAAGGATTGTCCCGACAAGATTGAGTTGCAGATCAGTTATGGAAGCAATGCCAACTCCAACAAGTAAAAGGAAGAGGGACAACTTTATATTTTGGCTGCACATAGTAGAACACCAAGTCACTGATAAAGTTTGAATCTAAAAAAAGCTCAACAATCACAAATGTAAAATAGAGAAGGGAGAAAAAAACCTGAATTGCTTTTTAAGGAAGATGGTTTCCAATAATACTGTGAATGGTATGATTGCAAGTTTTGTCATCTGCCAAGAGAAGCACCACAAAGAATGACCACACAATTTTCAATAATGGGGTTAAATACATGGAGTTAACCTGATAGAATCCTATGGAGTTAAACCCAAGGCTCAAGTTAAGAAGTCCAATGGAAACACCATTGAGGATGCCAAAGAGCATCACGGTCTTCACGTCGATGGGTTTATTTTCAAAAAGATTGAAGCGTTGGGCGGCGTGAAGGGTGCAAAATGTCACCATGAGATGCCAGCTAGTGAGTGTTGTGGCTGAAGGAGGAATGGGGTTAAAGAATAATTCATCTCGGTAATTGTGGTAAATAGCTGAATGATGTTTAAGAATAGACAAATTACCAAAGGGGAATCCAAGATTGCTCATCAAGGCTTTGTTGCAAATGACAATGGAGACCGATGATGCAACTGAAAGGAACAGTGCACCAATAACACCCAGTTGGAAGCTTGACATCTCTCCCATCTCTGGTGAAACAAACAAACTAAAAACAATAACCAATAAATACAGTTTAATGGGTACTAATCATTATAAAATGTAAAGCCAATTTGAAAACTGAATAGTGAATGTTTGGTGGTCAAACTGCAGATTGTTGTATGAGAAAAGAAAGGGTTTGGAATTAACTAATTAGAAAAATGTCTAAACTGTTCATTGACGAAAGCTTTCCTTGCTTGCATGCTTAAGAGAAGGAAAATGCTGTAACTAAAGAAAAGATTGCTTTGAATTAAAAAAAAAAAAACAGTTATGTATGAAGTACAGAGAAAGCAAATTTTACCTTGCAAAGAAGTGGAAAACTATAGAGTTTTAGGAGCCTCTGAAAAGGATTCAAAGAAAGAAAGCAAAACTTTGTTTCATCAAACAGATTCCCACATTTTAAAAAAGAAGAAAAAGTTGATGAGAATGAACAAAGAGAGAGACCTTTGAATAAAGTTGATGAGAATGAACAAAGAGAGAGACCTTTGAATGAGTACAAGTTTGCAAGATAATCCACAGATGGAACCAACTACAACTCCATAAAAGAATCGCCAGAAAAGCACACCGAGTTAGAACAATCAACAGTGAGAGGGGCTTGCAAATAAGCTGAGAGAGGGGGGGGGGGGTTGGTTTCGGCTTGTATGAGAATGTAGGTTTTTAAGCAGGCTATTTATTTTATGTAGATTGCGAAGATTGGTTGGTGCCTAACGCTGTTTTAAAATTTTCAAGTACTGCCTGTTTTGTTTATTTGTTCTTCCAGAAGGGAAGCAAACGGTCAGTTTAAGAAAGGGTGGATTGGCGATGTTGGTCAAAGTGAATGATGTTTTAAGCTTTTCAGATTTTGTGTGGCAGTTCAATGGGGTCTTCCAAACCATGTAATATGGTTGTGCCTTAGCACACAAGGCAGGAAGGTAACATGTAAGTGAGGTACCTGCCTGCTAATGCAAGCAAACCGGCTTGCCATCCTCAAACTCAATTGGTGTTTGGTGAGAACGACACAAAAACAAAAACCCTTCATGTTCACTCCTCAGTGAGGCCCTGGCCTTGGCTTCCTTCACCCATCTACATCACCCTTACCAATCAGGCAAATCAGGAAAAACCTTTTTCATATTTTTCAGTTCCCCTTGCCTTTCAAATAAAGAAATTATGTCAACAAGAAATGATATGCATTATTTTATCATTTACAATGAGATGATTTAATGGTTACTTCACCGTATCATCTCTTTCGAAAATTTATATTCATTGTCGGGATACTATGATATGATTAAACTTCATTCAAAGATACTCAGAATGACTTGTTGTCAGTGGATTTTATATTACTTTTTTATATAGTTTGATAAACTTGATCGTACGTTTTTCGAGCTGTACTTGTGTGACATAATTAAAAGAGCGAATGATGGATAGGAGGAGAGTTGAGGGGGCAATGCTTTGCTGTGCAAATCACGAGTAATTTCTCAGTTTCAACGTCAGATCCAGGGGAAACCGGTTTTGCAACTTGCTTACGGGCGTCACATGAAATGAGAGGAAGTTGCTAAATGAGTTGAGTTCAAACATCCATGCAGCGGTGGATTTCTATATAGTAACCCTTATTACATGGCAAAGCATTGTCCTTTAATGGTTGGCATCTATATCAGATCTCATCATATCTGAAATTCTTAATATAAGAATATATCATCGTCAGAGGCGAGTCCAGGGGATTCGGTCATGACAGATGGAAGTAGAAAAAGGAGCAACTCAAGAGGAAGATAGATATAAAAGAATTTAGTCCCCCTTTTTATAGCTGTAGGAATCTAAGATACAAAATGAATGTGGCTCAGGAAAATGAGTCCACCCTCTTTCAGCAAAAAAAAATTATCTCTCAAACTGAATCCTAACAAACATCTGATGAGGTAATATACATGTACAAATGGGGGTGCAAGGACTTGGAGAAAAAGAAATCAATAAAAATAAACAATTACTCCTTTCCAAGCTGAGCAAGGTTTTCATTGTCTGCAGCTGCGAGTCGTTTCTGAAACATCGCCCATTCGTTTTTGCACCTTGCTCTAACCTGTGAATAGAAAAGGAAGAAAGAAACAAGTTAGCTTAGAGATTCCATCCTTCTTTTACAAAAGAGAAGTTTCAAATCTTAAGAATAACTTTCAAAATGTACATAAAATGATGTCAAGATTCATAATATGCATTACCCCTTCCCAAGGAGCTTTCCCATCCTCCAATTTTACCTGAAATTCAACGAAACACATAGATTAAAAGCCATATTCATATAATTAATAATTCACATAATCATTTGGTATTGAAACCAAAATTATCTGGTAAGCTGATGAGAACTCACCTGGTTCCCAAGAGAAGGGATTACTTGATGAATAATCCACTGTGAATCTACCACACCGATTTTTTCATGTGCAGGCTGTGAAGAAGAAAATGGCAATTAAGTGCAAGAGAAAATATGAGGCAGGCTGAGATAAACATGAAGCTTTCTAAGAGGAGCCAGCTCGGCATGTTATTAGATTGTTGAAACAATTACAATCTCACTAGAAAATTTAACAACTTTTAACAATTTTAATAAGTTAACCAATTTGAACATTCTGATTTAGTTGTCATAAGAATGCCTTCATAAATTCAAGTGTTGCTGATTTTCCAAGGAAGAGTTTCCAAAAAGAGCTGGGTTCTTATATTGTTTTCTTTAGAGCAGTGAATAGCAAAATAATGGTAAAAAAAGACGGAGAAACCACTAACCTCAACACATCTTCTGAGAGCAAAATCCAGTCCCCACCCATGCACCAGATCATTCTACAAGAAAAAGATTCATTAAGCATTTCGTTAGCATCAACAGGAAAGAGCTCAAGAAATTGCACCACGTTATTAAGCATCCATACACCAAGAACCTGATTTTTGGTAGTATCATAAGTAAGTAGCTCAGGGAATTGTACCAAGTTATTAAGTAAAATTTTAGCAAACAGTATTCTAAGATCCTAATCTGTGTCTTCAATCTTAATCCCGTCATTGGAAAAGTTGAGAACTTAGGGAACTCATACCAAATGTGCTGGTAAGTGAGCCAGTTCAAATCTGATTTAAGTTTATTTATTTACTTGGGCGTGTATACAATCTGGCTAAAGTCCACAGAATTCTTGACTATACTTTACCTGAATCATATGCCACACACATCTCCATGCCTCCCGAGAAAATACAGGTGCCATAATTTCCACAAAACTGAGAGAAAGCAAACAATGTTGAATGTACCAAGAGAAAAAGAGGACAGCCGGTTGAAGGAAAATCAACAGTGGCATGCATCAGAAATACTGCTCATTCATAAGTATGATCGGTTTTGCTGATTATTTGCAAGATACATTATGCATGTGAGTGAGTGAGAGAGAGCATACGCAGCACATGGGGGCAAATCTCCTCTGTAACCCTGTGAACCAAGTTCAAATGCACAATTTCAGATGACACCCAAAAGAAAATTCCATTTGTGAATGCTAAAGTAACTGCAACTTTATATGGCTAACTGATAGAGAGAGCCTACTTGTGAACTTCTTTGTCACCTCTCCTCTTTGTCATCTGCCATGTCAATCCATTATTGGGCTCCAAACCTGGTTGTGAGATCTCCAGACCATGCTTCTTGACCAGTTGTATGTATCTGGTAATTTGAGTAGAGAAAGTAAGAAAGAGACATGTACAATCTAACTGGCTTATAGGACAAACCTCTCCGAATTGAAGTGTTCCACTCCCAGGTCTTCATCCCAGATGAAAATATATTCATAAGCGGAAACAACATCTGGATGCAAAAACCTTTTTGCATACCACCTAATAAAATATATTCATTAGCAGGAATATTAGAACTAGCAGCAAATTACCATCCACCTAACAAGGAAGCAACTAGAATTCAAGGAAGCAAGGAATAGGCAAAAGGTTACACTTTCTTAAAAATTCCTCCAACTAAAACGACCCAGAAACATAAACCATTCTGCCCGCAATAAAACTTACCATTTTGTTTGCTTCTTTACACTAACATGGATTGCATTCTTTGACCACTCAAATTGGGCCCATTCAGTCGTCCACCCATCATAATGAAAAAGCAAGATTTGGAAATCCTCAGAAAACTACCACATGTAAGAATACATAAGCATCAAAAACCCTGGAAAGAAAAAATTAGAAAGAAAAATGGAATGTCCCATTGTCTGACCTTTTTAACACATTTATCTATATTATTCCTCTGATCAATACCAACTGTAAATGTCACTAAATACTTCGGTTTCTTCTTCAGATCCTGCAGAGTCGAGGAAAACCATGATAAGAGACACCTATTAATCAAGAATATTAACACACATGGATGTATCATTTAGCATCCAGAAAGACATGTTCCAAAACTGGAATGACAGTGATTTATGGGCAAAATAGTCCTCTTGCACCAGAACTTTTCCTTTGGAATTTGGAAAGAACATGATAAACTGGCATGTAATGTTCCTAGTTGATAAAGATATCAAAAGAAAAAGAAAATTCCTGCCAGTTTCAGTTACTTAGATGGTATCACTTAAGCACCAGGGTTATGATCTTTCTACGTAAATATCACTTGTGGATTATACCTCACTAGGTTCACCCCATAGTCTGCGCAGGTAAAGGTCAGTTTCTGAAACAACAATTCCAGGAGGTAACATTTCTGCACCACGAGGATTTGTAGGAACATAAATCTGGAAAACACAGAAGCAGAAAACAATTAACAAAATGGATCAAAACCAAGCACTGTGCAGTGTTTGTGAACAAAGAGCTCAGCTTCACACCAGAACCCAGAAAACAAGTATATTATACTCAAGCTGATCTAAGAAAAAATATATTGGTTCAAAAACAGCGGTGAAGAAAAGTTTCACTGATAATTTGAAAAAATATTTCATTTGTGTCAATAAAATGTCTTCTCCTTCCAAATAACAAAAGATTAAAACAGCAAAGGGAACAGAGGGTAATCAAACAGGCACCTTAGGTAGATTATTTGTGGTTCTATCAGGAGACCTGACTATAAAGTCTTGGTCATTAGATATGGATACATCAAAAGCTGATCTAAGGCTTGAAGGTGAGCGAATCTGCAGTGAGTGAAAACAAATCATATGGATGATATATTGACTGCAGAATAGCTTGATTACTAATGAAGGAAAACATACCTTGTAAAGGGAAACTGATGGAAATGAAACACCAATAAAAAATCCTAACACAATTCCAAGAATTGTTGCGATAACAAGCCTGGCTCTACCAATTGTTTTCTTAAAAACTCCACTGCCAAGACAATTAGTTTAGTAAAAGGAGCCCCAAAAATTGTTCATCATAAGCAATAAGCCAGAAAAATGTAGCAATTCAGGAATCAAGACACACAAGAATGATGTAAGGTTCAAAACAAAATATTTCCAAAAAAAGAAGAATTCAAATCCAAGAATGGTTGCAAAAAATTATTCTTTTCACTTTAGTTGATCTATTTGTTTTATCTTTGAAGTGTCTAATAGTGAAAGGTAGGTAACAATTAATAAATCCGAACCTGCGGTGCATGGTGCCCATGTCTGTATGCTCTCTCGTGCTTGATTTAAAAGATTACATAACCACAAGGACAAT